AAATATCATAAAAGCTTTGGCTTTTATCTGCTCATGTTGGTAAAACTTCATCTGAGAGTAAGCGCACTGGGGCCTTCATTGTACGTTCCTGCCTTAAAGTAGATTCCAAGTAGCTCCTGCCCACGCTGCAAGGGAGGTGAAAACGAAGCACAGAGCATCCTCTACACCTGAAGCAAGAACCTCTCTGTCCAGCTCTGACTGATTCGGGATGATCTTTGTTCCCTGCATCCTTTCTACACAGGACCTGATGACGTTGATTTCTCTCTCTTTATGATCTAGCCAGTTGCTTAGTTTCTCATGACTGAACGGTGAATCTCTGTCTTCAAAGACTTTTAGTATTTTGCTCCCATTTGTTTCACCTTTACGGATGAGGGGAAGTTGATCCGCCATGGTCTGCTGGAGGCTAGCTGCATACTGATTACACAATTCTCGGAAAGTGGTTAGATGCTTGTGAATCTGTGGAAAATCCGCCACAACTCTGTCATCCAGAGAATCATTGCATCTCATTTCTATTTCCTTTAAATCTTCAAGAGCTTTTTCCACCTTTCTCACTAGCCCAATGCTGATCCCACTCATCACCTCAGCCGCTTTGGAATCCAAATTCTGCAACGGCATCAGCCAGACCATCAGAGGAACCCCATTCTCTCTCTCTTCTCCCAATAGCGTTGGAAGTTCTGCATAGGTCTTCACTGCCTCTCCAAATGTTGCAGGGTTGCTTTTAAGAATTAAGTCTCCATAGAATCTGCAGGAGAATTTGTTGGTCAGGGCTTTTTCTTCATCAGTCAGCTTGATGTCAACTTTCCCCTCAACAATAAATGCAGGGATCTTATTTATCACAGCTTCCATGCCGCCCTGAATGTCCTGAACGCTGCTGGCTTCTAACTTCTCACTGTCAAACACAAAGAAAGCATCTGCCCCATAAAGGATGCCTGTGACTACATGTGTTGCAAATCCCTTTTTAATAAGATCTTTCTGTTTCCCCCAGTCAGAGTTGGCCAATGTGGCCAGGGAAAGGGAAGTTTGGGGTCCTCTGCTGGACTTGCTACCCCCACAACCCGATTCTGGATAATCGGATGAAGATGAGATGAGATGAGAGCTGAGATGTTGGGTGTCCAAGGTTTCAAGGTCAATCATTAACAACTGTTTGAAGTTGGTGGTGGCTTTGTACTGAAACGTCACCCTGCTCTGATTCTTGAATTTCTTCGTATCATTCAGATATTCAGCAGATCCTCCAACTTCAATCAGTCCACCCAGGAAACTGGCCTTCAGAGAAGTGTTAATATCCAACAGAGAGGACTTGGATTCAATGGAGTCTGATACAGAAATTTTAGTTGAACTGCTGGGCTGAGAGCTTTCAACTGTGTTCTTCCTGAGAGTTTTATGATCCCACAGAGTCAAACCTAAAAAAATCATGAAATATCAGTCATCAAATTTCTTCACCTGTCGCTTCTTATCCCGCCAGCAGTTCCTTAAACAGCTTCTATATTTATAACTTTGACATGAACCCAATTAATAAAGGAATTATAGGTTTGGATTTAGCATTGTGAGTATGATTTACAGAAAGTTACATGCAAAGATTTGTTATTCTGTTGATTGTACTGGTTAGTTCATTGTAGTGAATTTGTAAGGAAGCAGTGTTTGTCCCCAAGTTCTGGTGCATGTAATTGGTGAGCATAGTTGCATCAAAGTTTGTAAGAGCAGTGCATTCCTATTGTAGGCTGAAGTGGTTGATCTCAACCAACAGAGAACATAGGTGAAGACAATGTATTGGGGGCAGTTCCCTGGTTTCCAAAGGTTGCTAGTTCCTGGTTTTCTTTTGGTTCTGGTGGAATCAGTGTTAACTGTTAGATAGATAGATAGATAGTGAATCAAATGATTGTATGTCCAATGTCTTAATAATGTACATAATGTATGTTCAGCAAATAAAGTGTGTGAGGGTGGGGGTGAGAGTGTTTGTTAAATTACTATGGTTTTATTATTTTCTTAAATGAACTAATGGTGTGAAGGTGGATGATTTATTAACAGACACAGCC